AGTGGGAGAGGGAGAAGCAGGCTTCCTGCGGAGCAGGGAGCCTGATGTGGGGCTCGATCCCAGGACCCTGGGATCATGACCTGAGCCGAAGGCAGCCGTTTAAGACTGAGCCACCCAGGCGCCCCTGTAGGTTTCTGTGTCTTAACCCTCCAATTAGTCTAAGGCTCCAGAGGGCAAGGGCCATGCCCTATTCCTCCTCAATTCTCCTCCCCAACACCACAGGAACAATACCCCGTTCTTAATAGGTACTCAATAAATAGGACTGATTAGATCAAAGGGACTTAGGAAGTTTATTATTATAACAGGAGGACACACATGCGTCTTCTAAAGCAGTTTTTGAGGGCCTAGCCTACCATAGGCACTGTGCTAGGTGCTAACAAACCATGTGATCCAGGAGTAGGAATTTGGAAAATCAAATATGAGCCTCCTGGGCACTCTGCAGCATGTCAGTAACATCCAAACTGATGTCTAGAAGTGATCAGATCAAGAGGCCTACATATTGGGTGAATCTGAGGCAAGTACTATAAGGTTACAATCTCAATTAGCTCTCAGATGATTCTAGGGTCAGACACTTAGAAAGTCCCTAAATAGCCTTTTTAAAATTGAAAATCTTGACTTTTGCTTCTTTTATAAGTTTTTTGAAGAATTTTTTTAGCTAGAGCTGTCAGGAAAAGGATGGGTCTTACTATTTATTTCAAATCAGTCTTCTTGAAATAAGCAAATTTCTCTACCCTGCTTTAAGTTTGTCACCATTTTACCACAAAATGTTCTTAAAAGCATGACCTTTGGAAACACCCTTGAATGTTCCAAATCAGTTGATAAACTTGTTCCTAAATCTTGGGTAATGAATATCAGTGTTTCATCTTCACTCCTTATTCACACCATAAGCTCTTCATCTAAACATAACCCTATTGTATAAAACTATTTCTTCAATGTACCGTCACCAAGAATAAAACAACTGTAAATAATTACCTTTGGGATATGAAAGAAAATGTAAACATTTTATTTGGCAGTTGTTTCTGAACACATGAATAAATAAATGGAAAAGTACATATTAATAATTCTTTTTGGAGTAACAGATACCATTAAACACTTATTTACACATCTTCACTGCAAAGAACAGTCACACAATTCAATTTTGTCTTATAAAAGGTCACTTCCTACATCACTGGACTGGACAGTTAAGGATGGAGATACTGGTAGTGCTTGGTTCTAGCAGTCTCAATGTTTGAAAGGCATTCATTTGCAAGTGTGATAAGAAGAGTCATCATGCATTGAGTTCATCCGGATCATGTACTGTAGAAAGTTTCTGATGGCAGCCAAAGAATTTGGTGTGTCATGCGCTTAAGTCAACTATGACATGTTTGTATATCTGTGTATTTCCCTTAAAACTGGAAGCAAAAAGAAAATTACGCTTATTAATGGACACATGCGTGAATGATCTTGGTGCCTGAACATTTAATTCCTGAAATTTCACAAATTTGGCTTTCTCTGCATCCCAGTTATACACTTGCGTAAAGGAATAATCACTTCCAAGAATTGCATATTGGTAGTTATTTATCTGAAGAGGCTGGAACACCATGGATCCTCGTGATGGCATCCTCTGAATATCCTGAAATGAGGAACCTCCCCATTTCATTACTTTGGAATCACCAATGAATCTTGTCAAGCAAATGTACACGTCACCTTTCACTGAGAAGTGCTTAACGGCATATACATCCTCCATGTTAGGGATGTCAGTTTGGTTAGTGAATAATTGTGTTGCTTTGTTCCACTGATAAATTACAGGACGCTGGGAACTACTAGACAGGATTAAATGAGGCGTTCTGAGTGTCTGAGGTGTTCTGGCTATTTCTAGATATTCCACATCAGTGTCCCTGTACCACGCGTGTAAGGATTGATGGGAGTAGAATCCATTTCCATTCCATTTATAAATGGTAGTAAAACCAGCTTTTGAACTGTCAGCAACAACAAAGTACCAGTTGTTTTCAATCTTGAATGTTTCAATGTCATTGGGTTTTCGGATTTTGAGAATTTCAATATCCTGGATTTTTATAAATTTATTTGCAAAACTGTCTCGCTTATAGATGTGAGAGCCGCCAAACAGCTGGGCCACAATAACATAGAGCTGAGTTTCAATGACTATAGGCTTGCACACTACAGTGGACGTGCCTGGGAAAAGACAAATGAGAGATTAGTTGGATGGCCATCCTCTTTTGCAGCATGTAAACATGCAGCCTGAGGCCATACAACTTCCACCAAAATCAGCCTGGAATAAGAGATTTCCTTGGTTGAATAGGCAAGGCCAATCTCCAAGGCCCAATGGCAGCAGGATCCTGAAGTTCTGTGCCTTTGTGCCTCACAAGGCCTTGTTACCAACAACTGCGTTGTCAAGTCACATCCAACCTGCACTAGACATTCAGGACACACAGCTACAGCTTGAGTTTTCTCCTCTCACTTCTTGCAGAAAGAAAGCATTGCTTTCCCTGACACATCATGAGTTAATTATAGTAATTCTAGTGAAAACTTCCATTTATTGATCACCAACTATGTGCTTTGTCAAATCATCTCATTAAAAATTCCCAAAAATCTTATGAGATAAATATTATTATCTTCCCTTTTGCAGATGAGCAGACTGAACTCAGAGAGATTCAGTGCTGTTAGGAGAAGGCAGTGTTGGGATTCAAACTCAGGTCTACCAGCGTCTCTATGCTTTTAACACAACCTGTGGGGAGGTGAGCTATTCCAGGGCTTCTGACTTGGGCTAGGATCCCACAAGTTTCTAGAACCACGCTACAGAGTCTTGAGCAGTCATCTGGGTAGCCCATGGTAGCCCATGGTTCTACCAGAAATTGGTTTGTTCCTAGTGTGAATGGCTTCTTGCTCTAAAAATAGGTGATTTTCCTCTAGGAAAGGAGAGAGATGCCACTTGTCATTTTTCTGAAGCTTTAGGTCACTGGTGGCAAGAGAGAAGACAAGGAAGAGAAATCCTTGAGAAAAATGAAAGAGGGGTACAGTCATAGGTGATACTCCTAAAAGTTATTTTGAGACATCTTAGAGAACAATATGGATCAGTATCCTTGCTCAGTATCTTTTTGGTATCAATAAATGTAAATATCATTTATCAGTAAATATGGACTAGAGGCAGCTTGGCTCTAGGAAATCCAAAGAGAGCAGGGCAAATCTGGGCCCCAAGCCTTTTCTAACTTTAGAAGCTCCAAGGCAGTAAGTTCTGCATCAACTCTTTCTACTAATAGGTGAGATTATTCTATTTGTGACCCTTTTCAGGACTCAACTGATTGTGTGACTTTGGGAAAAATCACTTAACTTCTCTGGAATTCAGTTTTCTCTTCTGTACAATGAGGATTTGACCTAGATCAGGAATGGCCACTAGATTTCAACTATGTATCAATACTGATCAACTGACTGATTGGGAAACTGCCTGAAAAACTGTGTTAAGGATTCTGTATTTGGGTCTGCACTCTGTAAGCAAGAGCATTGACATTGATTAGTGATGTCTTTCTGGCGTAAAGGAGGTCATAGTGACAGCATATTGGACATATATTTGTCATCTTAGATGAGATGATGTCTTCTGAAAGTATGCATATATGTGATTCATTTCTCTTTCAAGTATTCATCTTAAGATTCATCTAGAATAACTGATGGACATACACAGGTAAGAAGAACCTGGTTTAAACTGCACAAAGCTGCTGCAGTTCATTGGAAAATTGAGGGGGCTTTGGGAAAAAGGGAAGCATGACCTTCTTCCTTGAGAAAGAAGGAGGTTTCTGGGAGGACCTCAGTTTGGAGAAGATCCCTTCATCTGGGCACCTCAGTCTCGAGCAAGCCCCAGATTTGTCTCAGTCCTGTAAACAATGGGGCTGGCGGCCACCAACACAATCTAATTATGACCCTTCCCACCCAAGAAGGGAACTCTTTTACAGGGAGGTTTGAATGTTCTCAGGAGCAGATTTAAAGGTATTAGAAGCTAAAGCTGATGGAAACATTTTAGAGGGAGCCCCATATTCTAACTTACTTAAAAACTATAAAGTTGTTGAAATGAGAACAAAATTTAATAGGTCACCTAAGTAAAAGTTTTCATGGAAGAAAAGTGGTTTTCAAGGTCAAATTAAATGCACAAAACACTGGAAAGAGGCTTCCTCACTGCTAGACTTCTCAGGGCCTCTAATGCATAATTATTATGAATCTCCAAGAGGGAGATATGGTTCACAGATTTATTGGACCAAAATCCCTTTTTGTCACAGGAGTTCATTAACATTTTGAGGGGGTCACGTTTGTACAACAGAGGTTGAGACTCATTGATCTAAAATAACATCTTTATTTTATAGTTAAGAAAAAGGGAAGGCCCAGTGAGGATGAGTGGCTCACCCATCTAGTTTGTGGCAGAACCTAGATTAAAACTCATGATTCCTAGTCCAGTATTTTTCTTTCGAAGAAAAATAATCTACCTTTTATTTGGCATTTACTATGCTTGGTTCTAAGCTAAGTTTCTTGAATATGTGATCATATTATCTTATGAATACATTATCTTACAACAACCCCGTGTGTTAGGTATTATTATTCCCACTTACAAGTCAGGAAATTAAGGTTTAGGGAACAATCCCCAGTCATTTAGTAAATGGTACAGCTGGGGATTAAAGGACTCTAGCATGCCCAACGATCCCCCTATACCAGTTGTCTTTTTCTGTTGCCCTTGGTCGAACCTGCTTAACTTTCTATTCAAAATACAATCAGGCTTTTCATACCTGTAATGTTGTCATAATTTCGGAAGGTCTTTTCTACATGGTCCCATTCAAGGAAAATGCACTTTCCAGTAAAAGGCTGAGCAATGACTACATACTCATCATTCATATAAGAAAAAGTATCTATGGACAGTGATTGATAAGGCAGGTCTTGAGACTTTGCAAATTCTGCAAAAACAGGAAATGATGATGAATAACCATGTACTAATGCCTCGTTCCTTGGCTAGATCTCAAATGTCCTTAAGAGATACATTTATTTAAGAGAAACAGTAAAATGATCATTTTACTTTGCTTTTAAACCCACAAAAGTTTTAATGCTTTATCATATTTTAAAAATTAAAATTGGTCATTTGGTTTTTAAAGATGTAAAAAATATCAATTCCTGCACACACACAACATGTAGCCCTTAAGTTAGCTTTATGAGGTGGAATGACTTGGAATACATTACCTGTAATGATGCAATCAAAATCCTTGGGCGAGAGACTATTGATTTTGCGCTTCTTGTATTCTGGGGGGCCTTCGCAGTAGATGTCTTCAACAGTTGCATTGGTGTGGCCCAGCCATTCCACTAGCCACTTCAGTTTACAGTCACAATTAAATGAATTCCCTCTCAGGTCCCTGAAAGACAGACTTCAGTTGATTTTGCTATATGAGGGTCCTACCTACGCATGTATGATCTCTACCTCAGCAATTAACATACGCAGAATGCCTTTACCCGGCTTTACATCATGCCCCATAATCTACCTTGAACCTGACTGACCATTCACTTTGAGTTCAGAGAGTTCCCGCAGTGCACCCTTGAATGCCACCCAGTCAATAGAACCTCATAAGTTATTCCCTCTTGGATCAAAGGCAGCTCTGTCTAGAGCTGTGCTGTCCATAGAAATATAGTGTGAACTACATATGTAATTTAAAATTTTCTAGGGGCACCTGGGTGGCTCAGTCCATTAAGCGTCTGCCTTCAACTCAGGTCATGATCCCAGGGTCCTGGGATCAAGCCCGTGTGGGGATGCCTGCTCAGCAGGGAGCCTGCTTCTCCCTCTCCCTCAGCTCCCACTCATTCTCTCTCTCTCTCTCTCAAATAAATAAAATCTCTAATTTTTTTCCTAAATTTTCTGTATTTCTAAAAAAAGTAACAAGAAATAGGTGACATTAATTTTAATAATATACTTGATTTAAAATAATTTATTATTTATTTTAAAATAATATATTTTATTTAATATCTCACACAAATATTATCATTTAGCTGTGTAGCCAACAAACATTATTAATGAGGTATTTTACATTTTTAAAAAATATTACGTCTTTGGAGTCTAGTGTGTATTTTACACTTAGAGCATAACTCAATTTGGATGCTAAATTTTCATCAGAAGTATGCGATCTGTATTTAGATTTCATAAAATTTATAGTTGGAAAAAAATAGTCTCACACATCCAAGTTGTTCCAAACATAATTAAGTTTTGCAATAACCGAACTGAGAATCAGTTTTTCAATTTAACTTAGTTTTCTACTTAATTTTCTAAAAATTAAGTAAAAATTTAAAACTTTGTTCCTTAGTTACACTTAGAACACTGCTTGGTGACCACATGTGTGGCTACTGTATTGGAGTGCAGGTCTAGAGGATAGAATATAGTGCTTATTATGTCATATTTAATTAAATCAGCTATTTGCTTTTGTTCTTCCTCAGAGATGTAATTCATCCTGATCCTATTCCGTGGTCTACAAATTCAATTTTAATAGGAAATGACTGACACAGCAGAGTTAACTCAGACATCCAGCAGCTCATGTCTGTAATAAACTATACAGCATGGATCATTTAAATTTCCACACATGATCCCAACTCACCAGGTTTTCTGTTTATTTGCATTGCTTCTGTTCAGAAATTCCAGCTCCTTCCTAAAACCCTTCTTGGTCACACAGAATTCCCAAGATAGGTATTGCCTAGTCTCACACAGCACACGAATAATTTTTAAATGTTGAAGCATTTAAAAATGCTTTTTGGGGGATACATTCAAGAAAACCAAGAAATCCTCTAAAAGACAAGCTGTCAAGGATCCTTGTTCTTAGATAATTCTTGATTTGGGTGTATTAGGGTAGGCCCAAGAGGCCAAACCCATTATGGGATTTCCTTAGAGACTGAGCCAATTTCAAGTGGGTTTTGTTGTTGTTGTTTTGGTTTTTGCTCCTGCTGACACAAGGATGAGCCAGAAGATGATGCCCGAATAAGCTGTATCCCCAAGTCGGCCATGGTATATCATCTAGCTTCCAAGACATCCCAGGGCTGACTTCATCTCCCAAGAATATTCTGACCCCAAATAATGAGTGTCAACTTTTCTGGGTGATTGTAAACCAGAACGGCTAACTGTGGTCTGTCCGAGACTCTCTTGGAAGTGTCCTGCTTCCTGCACTCTCTTGGAAATAAACCATCATTCAGGACTTGGGGTAATAGGCATTGAGGAGGGGCTGGGGAAATACCACAAGGAACAAAGAAAGTTTTTCATTAGCTTACTGATTTGAAGTTAAATACTAGGTTTAGGAGAAAATACTTGACTCAGATCTTTTGTTATTGGAGAAAAGTTGTTTTGAATATATATTCTATAGCAAAGTACCTGAATTGATAAGAAACATTTTGTTTTCATATATCCTTTCATTTGTTCCTGTATCTACCTTATGACCATTTAAATACCTTTCTAATGTCTGGAAGGCACTTAATGAAGCTAAATTGCTTTTGAGAGAGTTAGGCATATATTACTTGCTTTGCTTACAGCAAAATATACAAATTCCTTACAAAGATCTTTCACTCTGAGGTTTAAAAGTCAAAGTTTGAAAGCTCTTTTGTTTGACAAAGGGTCAAAAATAATTAAATCCATTCCCTTCCTGGGGCTTAAGCCAAATTCCTGGGGATTAAGCCTAGAGTTGTTGTTCAGTCTAAGGAGAGAAAAGGCAAATTTGCCTCCCTTCCCCCGCTTCCTGCTCCATTTCTCTGTTGACTGACCAACCCATGGGTGTAACCTTTCATCTGTACTCTGTCAGTTTCCCAGACTCCTTTAAGTTTTTCCTTTGTAGCCCCATTTCCTGGACCTCGTGAGAAAAAAGGCATCTTGAAATTTCACTCTGGGCCTCCTCTTCCCACCCCCTCAAAGTCCCTTATCAGCACTCCCTCCCATCGGATACACACTTTGCCCCAAGGAATGCCTGGGCATTATATATTCAGAATATAGAATATATATACTGAGTCTTCACTATAGAAGACTCAAACATTAGTTCAAGTAAATTTAAAATTTAAGCCAATTTAAAATTTAAATTGTAAAATTCTTATTTAATTTTAAAGCCAATTACAAATTCTAAACATCAATACCAAGTTTCTTTGTTAACTATTGCAAATTAATTAATCAGTGATTTCTTAGGTCCTCTTACACATTTGTTAAAGAATCCAGGCCTTTGAAAATATCTTTTGGGAGTGTCTGGAGATTGTTGTTTGCGAGGCTCCTGGAAAAAAAAAAAAGAGCGATGTAAACTGTAATCATAAACTAAATAGATGCATTTTATGATAAAACTTAATTATAAATCCCTTTTATTCTTTCCTGACTACACTAAATTACTTGCAGTACCTTTTTTATTTCTTCTTCTAAGATACTACTCAGATTCCTGCTATCACACTTTCAATTCTTGGTCTCTTTGCTTCAGTGCTCACTCAGTATTTATGGCACTTATGTACCATGGCAAAAAAGAAACTAACAAACCAGCAAAAAATGATATTGGGCATTGATCTTTCTATGTAGAATGGAATATGAGATTCATACTCTTAGACATTCAGTCTAGGGCATGTGTCCCAAATAATGACTAACTAAATGGGTGACAGTGCCCATTTCCCCTCACACTCAGCCTGCCCCTGCTCCTCCCTCTCTCCTTCTCACTTGCTCCAGACAGTGGCCAAACCCCCAACTGATAGTGCCAATAGCTCTAGAGTTGGGGGACCTTCTAGCCTATCCCCCTGCCAGCACATCCTTTCTTCTTTTCAAAGCATATACTCCCTTTTTATATTTTTCTTTTCTTTTAAGTTCCATTCATTTGACCTCAGAAAACAGCTTTCTCACAAATACCCATCCATCCATCCATCCTCTTTAATCATCTCCTTTCCTTCTCTTCCAGTTCTTATTGTCACAGTAACTGTTTTCTCTTTTTCTATTTTTTCTTTCATGAATCACTGGAATAATTCTAATCAAAGCTAATGAGTAAGGAGTAGTCCTGATGATATCAAGAAAAGGGAAATGTGTCCATACTGCAGAAATGTGGACGTAACAAGTAGTAGCAAGGGATGTAGGTACTGATAATTTTCTATTTTTAATCAGCATTGTGTGTGTGTGTGTGTACACACCTATCTATTATATACTTATGAAATTTTTTCCACAAAAAATTTAAAAACTAAACCAAAACAAAAAGAACTTACGTTGTTGGCCTCCAAAGTCCTTGAAAATTCTCTCAAATTCCATTTAAAAGACTCTCAAAACTCTTCTTCTACCTGCTCTAATTAATATGAGATTTCTCAAGTGCAAACATTCAAGACTTTTAAAACCTATTTTTCAGTTAATTATGTTGTTTTCCTGAGTTTTAGAAATTGCGACTAGTTTGGAAAACTTCAATGAACCTTGGAACATAAGAATGGGAACTGAATCAGAATGTTCCCGTCTCAATGACGGTCCATTATGTAAAGAAGGGCACAGCTTTGGGCCATTCTGAGCTTTGTTTGAGTCCTGACTCCACTAGTTCCTGGCCGTGTGACTTTAATTCTGAATCTTCTTCAGGACTCAATTTTTTCATTTTTTTTTTTAGGCGGGGGGTGTGGGTAATAATACCTCATGTCACAAGACAGAAAAAGTAAATGAGATAACTCGGGATGGTACCTGGCTTCTGGTTTATTCTCAATAAAGGGCAGCAGGGAGGAGGTGGAGGGGAAAAGAAGGAGAAGGGTTTGCCTAAGAAATAACATTTAGAAAACTGGCCATATGAAAGAACCACTATGACTGTAGTGGTATTAGGATTAATAAAATGTTGCTAAAGAAGACTTTTCAAGAGAATGTGTCTATAATTCACCTTTCTGCCTAGTGGCTGAATGAAGAGACTTCCTGGTGTCTTGGTCTAGTCCTGAGTCACTCCCAAGATATGTGTCTCAATTTATTTTCTGGCACCATGTGTCTTAAAGTTCTCATGTGAACTTCTAAGTGGATGAAACAAACTGCAACTGGTTGCAGGGCACAAGGTTGGAGGAGGCTGGATCATAGGACAGCAGACGTGAAATGAAGAAACAGTCAAGTCGTGAATTACCACTGCCACCAGGGTTGCCCAGGAAGAGGCACCATGTTTGCATTGCTGCCCAAGGCACTTCTTTTATTAAACAATGAGCAAATCTGGTAGTTCCACTTCCTGGCCAAAGGATAGAGCTCCAGACCTCACATACCCGAGGTGAAGGCCAACCACAGAAGCGGCTGTTAAGACACAGACTTGGAGCTACAAGGCTCTTGGGGTAAAGAGACATCATTTTTCCATGAGAAGATGGAGGACTTTTAAGTCAACAGAGTTGGGGGCTGGAGCCGATGAAGGCAGGCTGACCTTCTTGGGCTGTAAAATGAGGCTTTATGCCTTTTGAGGACTTCTTGTAACAGGGAGGCTCTCACTCTGGGGACCAGCGGGAGGGGGAGGCAGAGCGGCATGAGGGGTGCCAGAGGCAGAAATGGTGGCTGGATTTACTGCACTCAGTGTTACTCGTTTTCCTGTTTCACTGCCAAAATTCAGTGAAATACTGACTCACAGTGGACTGTTTCTGAAAAAGATAGGAGGGAGCTTCACGCCTAGGTTTGGTGAGGAGTAGGCATGAGAAGTCTGCCTGGACTCATAAAAGAGGCAGAACCAAGAGGAAGTAAGACCCAGAAAGGAGAGGAAGCCTTCCGAGTCCCATTAAGTGGAGTTCAGACAGCTTCCCTAAAGTCTTTGGGAGGCCTCAGTGACAGGGTTTACACTTGTGTAAGAAGAAAGCAGGCAGCAGGGACTGGAGCAGAGAATGTCTTAGGAAAACAATGCTGATAAAGCCTGGGCATTATTCTGCAAAACAAATGTAACGGGGTCCTGATATAAAGTAGCCTTCCAGTGCGGGCTGATGGGTCAACGGTGAAGGATGCATTAGGGCACATAGGAGATCAGCAAAATCTGCAAAGTTAAGAAGAGAACGATGAAATGCCTCCACACATTAATTAGCTGGCCAGTTAAGAGTATTTACCAATTTACTAAGTGAAGAGAGCTGGAATTATTTTGAGACCCACTGCACAACTGGGGAAAGATATTTAATCTAGCATTATCTATAGTAGAAAAGAATTGGAAACAACCTACATGTTCATTAATAAGGGATTGTGTAAATAAATGATGGTTTATACTTAACATGGAATACTTTGCAGGAGATTTTAAAACATGAGGTAGATCTCTATGATTTGACAAGAAATGATGCCCAAAAGAAAAAAAAAGAAATTGGAGAATAGGATGTAAAGGGTAATCCCACTTGGGGAAGGAGGATACATGGCTAACAATGCATGAAGAAAGGTCTGGAAGGAGATATAATTTTTTTACATTTGGAATCTTTTACTTTTGCTATATAAACATCTGGATTGTAAGAGTTTTTATCATCAAGCATGTATTGTTATTTTAAATTCAGAAGAAACAAAGAATAAAGTTGAGGTTTTAAAAAGACCCCATTGCTTAGTATTTGTGTATGGAATGGTTCTGTCCAGTGAAGATTTAGTGATTCTAAATCAATTATTTTACTTCATTCATAAAGTCCCAAAGTTACCGGGCTCACCAGAGTGTAACTATCAGGGTCAGCACAAGGGGGTCTGAGTGGTCAGATGATGTTAGCTCTTGCATGAGATGGGTTTCAGGATGGAGCTCCCATTTTTCTCACAAGATGACCACATGGCTTCAGGCCCTCATCATCTGGGGAAATTTAGGACTGCAGTCAGTCCAGATTTGGAGCCATCCCTCTGGGTTCCTTACACCAGCTGAAACCCAGCTTTGAGGAGGGCCTGGAGCTTCAAAAATCATCATGGGCATCTCTGCGGGAAATTTTCTGTGGGGGTGGAGTAGAGGTGAGAGGGCTCCTGAGGGCTCTGCGCCAGGGCTGCCAGGAAGAAAAAGTAACAAGTCCCTGATGCTCCCTGAAGCTTCCTCAGCATTTGGTCCTTAGGTGAAAAGGGTGAGGATCTGCTGCCTATTAGGTTAAACAGCTAGAGATATTGAGACAGCATTTCATGGGTTAGGGTTAAGGTTTTTAGGCTTGATGTTAGGATCATTTGATTCTTCAGATTCCATCTCTGCACTGAGTCTTGCTATTGGAGAGCAAAATGGAAAATCGAATTCATTCAATTTTCTCAGTTTCTCCTTTTCCTCCATCATCCCCCCAGCTTCACAGACTAATAGCTTCATATTATTATTCCCTTTCCCCTAATAGATGCTCTGGTTGAAATACGTTCTGTATCTTTTGTAAAATGGCCGTTACTCTCATCCCCAGCATCACTGAGTACAGTGTGGTCATTTGGGGCGTATTGGTTTCTGTCTCTCCATCTGCAAAACTGAACAAAGAATACCAATTTCATTTTTTGGTGAAAATTAACACACACAACTACTAATATTTTTTATATACACACTTTTGAAATGGATTCCAGGGAAAAATTTGGCATCTGCAGGTGAATATTTAAGCCTTATGTCAGATAATCAGGACTACAAAACTAATCTGTTTCTTTGTTGTTGTTGAAACCAGTGATATTTAATACCTAAGCACTTTTAAATGCTCAATTCTGGAGGTTGAGGTCATCTATTCTTTTTGCCTCTCTGAGTAGACAGAACTTTATGCCTTGGTATTTTTTTTTAAGTGTCCCATCTTTTACTGATATATATATATATATATAAATAAACTTTATTTATATATATATAAATAACCAGTGATATTTAATACCTAAGCACTTTTAAAT